TACTATTTTACCATTTACCTTATATTATTTAATTCTAGTCAAACCTCCTACCCTAGAATAATTAAGGATATTTTAGTAAATTTATAAATTACAATACAATACAGTCAAACTAAAAAATAAAAATGTTATTAAACAACAACAAACAATACAGTCTAGCCAAACATTGTATCTACCATACAATACAGTACAATAGAGTACAATACAATACATTATGAAACAATGGGTAACAATGATACAAACAGAGTGTTAGAATGCAATACATATAATTTTTATATATTTAATAATAACCATATTTATTTTTTCTTCACAATTGTGCTAAACGTTGAATATCAAAAGGGTATGCATCAGTTGACTTTTGGGCTCTATAAGATCTTCTTCCAACAATTATATTTGCAGCTTCACCTGGATGAAATGCATCCCAAAATAAATATTCATTTCTATTTGGGCATGGATTTTGAAATGGTAGACATGTTATTTGTCCATTGTTCCTTCCTATTCCGCAACATCCAGCGTTCGTCACTCTAAATCCTGAAAATACAATAAAGTTAAACGTCAAAAATACCTTTAAACAATTTACAAGCGAAAACCTTACATGACAGATAATACTGACTAAACAAAGCATTAAAAAGATCGAAATACTAGGTCAAGAAGAAAAAGTTATCGGCTACCGATACAATATTAATTAAGTGAGACTTTTAAGACAGATATATATGATAGTATAAATAGCTATTCGTACGATTAGATCAAGTAAGTAGAAAACTTAAAAGACAGATAATATGGATCGAAAAGAATAGTAGGGAGGGAAAGAGAAGTTACCAAAAGCAAAGGGATTGTCAATTAAATCTTGAAATATTCCATAAGCATTAATGTAGATTAATTTAGCATTTGGTGTATTTCTATTTAAATTATCCACAAGTGCCCTCAGTTTATTGTTAAATAACTGATTTGCCACATTAATATTTTGAGCACAAGTTCTTCCATCTGGGCTGTTTTGGGCCAAAGCATTTGGGCTGCATCCAATTTGGCCCACTCCAATCAACACAAATTTCCTTGCTCCATAATTGTACAATGTCTGCAACATAAAGTACACAATTAGGGTCGATTTACGCAAATGTCCCTTTTTTAGGTTATCATTTAAATTTTGTCTATATTTTTAAAGTCGTGCAAATTTAACCAAAATAACTATCCTCGGATGATGTTAGACTCGAATTTAATGTTTCCCTTATCTTCATCAATGAGGGAGGCGGTGGATGAGTGGTAATGACATTACACATGATTTTATAAGCAGTCTTAACCACAACAATAACATATCAAGTGTAATCTCATAAGTGAGGTCTTGGAAGGGTAGGATTTACGCAGACCGATCCCTATTTTGTGAGACAGAGATGTTATTTCCGATAAACCTTCGACTCGGAAATTTTATAAGTAGTGTCAATCTATATATTATCACCATTCAACTTGTAGACATGTTGGATTTTGGGCCAAGGGTTCTAAAGCTTTACTTCTTATCTCAAATTTATATATGTACCCTACATTATTTATTCAAGGGGTATCAACTTATTGTACATATGTATATCTATATGTGTATGTATATAATTAATTAATGTTTTTCACCAAGTAACATTGGAGGAGACAGATTCAAAATTCAAAAATTATATATGAGATAATTTGAATTTGAAACTCGGCCACTATTAAAAAATGAAAACTTCCATCAGAGACATTACTAACATCCGAATTTTGACGATTTTTACTGGACATCCACCGAAAATTCTCAATTTTTAAGTATTGTACCACATGTATTTGATTCGATTTATTGGATTCAAGATCTATTATATGTAAATGGAAAGATAAAAAAGAGAGATAAATTCACCTTTAATTGTTGAGTGTATTGTTGGATAAGAACATTGGCATATTGTTGAGGAGTAAATTGTCTACTTGTTGAATAATATTGGGGCATAAAATAATTGTTGAGATAATCATTACTTCCAACTCCAATTGAGTAAATACATTTACTCAAATAATTTGCAGCTGAATTTTCATTCCCAATTATTCTCACTATTTGTTGAGCTATGTTCTTGTAATTATTTACTTGACCTGAAAATGTTACCCTTCCTCCCTGCAAAAATTCAATAAGTTAATTTGACGGCACTACAACAAAACAAAAGTAATTTTTAGCGGCATTAAATATTGACATTAATAAAGAGTGCTAAAGTCTTTATCGGCATTAGTTAAGTGCCATTAGAATCAATGTCGCTAAAGGCTTTAGGGACATATACAAAGAGTGCTAATTGCTGCTAAAAATACATATTTAGCAGCAATTAAGAATTAATTGCCGCTAATGATTATTTTTTATGTAGTGCGGAGATCAAGAGTGTTCACTTACGTTCAAAAGAATTAGAATTTACAATACAGATGGTCTGTCATAAATTCATCAATATTATATTATTTTCGACGAATTTTCTATCATAAATTGAACATCTTTGTGTTATGCGTATTCAGTCAAATAAAATCACATAAAATGAAACGGAAAAAGAAATTAGTACCAATTGTTGGCCAGTTTCTTCTCTAATTCCAGCAGCAGCAGATGCAAAATTGACACCTCCAAGTATTTCTCTACCCCTTGCAGTTGCATAAGGTGGAATATAATCATCAAAACCCAAAAGCTCAGCTGAAAATATATACAAACAGTATATTATAATATAGTGAGAAAATATTGAGTTTTTTTTTTTTTTGAGAAGACATAAATTTAGAGATATTAGGTGGATGTTTGAACATAAAAATCGTGAAATTTGGAAAAAGGTAGTACGTACTTGTTTTTAGCTTGAAAATAATATTTGGAAATTAAAATTGTGTTTGGACGTTAATACAAATTGTAATTATTTTTGATTTTTTATTAGTAGTTTAGAATAAAAATTGTGAAAATAACTTTTAAATTTTTTATTGAATTTCATATACGTATTGAATACATAATTAAGTTAGAATTAGAAATCATAAAAGTTTGTAGCTTAGTAGTAATAATTTTTTAATTAACACATAATTAAGTTAAAAAATTCCGCTCTTTCTAACAATTTGAATTAAACTTTTCAATGAGATGGTTATAAAATTTAACATATGTATCAAAGCAGACATAGAATATAAATCAAGGTTTTGAATCTTGCAGTCAGAACTACTTCATTATAAAAATATAGTTTTCACATGCGTTACTCATAAGAAAAATTGACCAAGCAGACTCTCGCGGGAAGGAACGAGTTGAACATATAATTCAATAAATAAATGTGTGATTCCTCTAAGAACTTCAGATATTTTCACGTACTTAGCCCATAAGAAAGAGTCAATCTTGCACATAAATAACAATATACGTATTGAATATATAATTAAGTAAATAAAAGTACGCTTTGATGAACTTACCTATGACATCAACAGTAGTTTTACCATTGGAGAATCTTCCAGTTGGTCCATCGGGAAAATCAATTCCATAAGGCAAATAATCAGCTCTAGCCAATGACCTAATCACATTATTATTTCCATTATCCACTAATGAATCACCAAATATAAAATAACAAGGCACTTGTGGTTCTCCTTTTGTACCATAATTATCCCCAAATAAACTCAACATTAATAAAAACACACATATTATCTTTAAATCTCCACACATTATCAATCCTTCAAAAAATAAAAACAAAAAAATTAAAAAGAAGAAATTTGAGAGAAAGGAAAAGATTGAAGACAATGTGTATGGTTTGTGTGAGTGTATATATATATATATATTGAAGGAATGTGAGAAAAAGATAGAAAAATGGGAAGAAATATTAATTTAAATATTTTCTAAAAAAATAAGTCATTTTGACAACTAATTAATATTAAAAACTTGATGTAATTTGAAGGGAAGTGGGGTAATTGGCAGATATATAAGAGGGAAAAAAAACTAAATTCCTCTTTGAATAATAAATACTGATGGAAAATATTATTAAGTCGGATCCACTTGTAAGAATTGTTAATTATTAAGCTCATTATGTTCAATTTATTCTTCTTCTAAATCCAACTTATATAACATATATAAATAGATCATTTTGTTTATTATTATTTTTCTCTCTTAATTTTCTGTATTTTATTTAATTAGTGGTATAGTTAGTTTCTCTTAAAATATATTTCTCAAAAAATATTTTTCAAATCATTTTTTTTTCATATTGGGGAGTAAAATATTTTTTAGCAAAAATAACTTCGTACCCAAAAAAACTCGAACCAGACTTGAATTATTGATCTTATTTAGTGCTTTTACAGATAGGAAGTTAGTTAGAAGCATTGAATTTCACATGGATATGTTGTGTGTGTGAGATTTTATATAGTGACACTAAGATCCACTTTTTTTTTTTCCTTTTGGTAGCCATGCATGCATTAATTTTCCTTCACTTTCCTAGATTTTAAGTTAGATTAAAAGTTTATATAATAATGATGTAAGTAATATTTATTTTAAATTATTGAAAAGATAATAGCCAGTAATTTTATTTACTTTCTTAGTCCCAAATCACTTGTCATGTTCTATTTTTCAAAAGTAAAGCTATATGAATTTTGACTAACATTTTATATGTATGTTTTCATCATATTAATATGAAAAAAATTATAATTTACTGTACTTTTCGTATAAATTTTAAATATTTAAATTTTTATACTAACTATCATTATATTCCATAAATATTAATATTGGTTCGAGTTCGTTTTTAGAGGGTTCTACAAAAATTAAGTCACATTCAAAATGAATCATGACTTTTTGGATTGATCATGAGGGGAAGCTTTATAGATATGGTGAATTAAATGGAAGTACTATATATATATATTGCTGCCCACATGGCTATGATGTGTATTTAAAATACAGAAATTTATTGCCTATTAATTGGTCTAGTTGCCAACATGTCTATTGTCTTGTCTTGAAATGTCTTTCTCTATTGTTCTTTTTATTTGTTAGAAGGTGCGGGTAGCAAGTCTAAGATGGTTTGAATATATTTTGTGTCAATTTATAGACTTAGGGATTTGTAGATATGAAATTGTGGTAAGCAAATGAAGGTGTTGAGGAGGATTAAGTTAAACTAGGTAAACCTAAAATCATATGGAATGAAGTCGTCTTGGAATAGGGGTGGAGATACATTGTTAATGATGCTCATTATTTCTATAGGATCAACATCACTTTTTGGAGTTTTGGAATCACGTAATATAAATTTAAGATAATCTAAGTTTTTTGTGTGTATTACTTCATGACTTTGCGTTGGATTCCTACTGATTAACTCCATTTAATCTCTAATTTTGTGGGTCTATTTGAAATGACCTAGTGAATGATACACACAAGTGAATTGAAGTTTGACCTTAAGACACGAGGAGGTTGCTCGGATGGTAAACATCCTTCACCTTCGACCTTAAAATTATGGATTTGAGTTACTGAGGTAGCAAAAAGAAAAGAAACTTTTGATTTCTTATCGATACCCAACAAGCTTTAAGAATAAATGACTCACTATAATTCTTTCATCATATTTAACTTGTAGAAGCTTGAGCTCATTGTGACGTAGTTAGAAAAAAGTTGAAAAGATAAAGAAGCTAGTCTCTGCGCTTTCTAAACTTAAGAATATTTTTTTTAAAATGTATTTCGAATCAAAAAGTAATTAAATGCCTGTTAATTTTGAAAAATAGTAATTTGTAGTCAAATAAAATCATAAAAATGATTATTTATGATATTTCTCTATATTAATTACACTACTTTCCCTTTAAACGAGTTGGTCCTTAATTTTTCTCCTAAATTCAAACTTATGCCTAGCGGAGAATAAGTTCTTTAAGAGTGTGGGACGAAACCTATGACACACTATATGATATGAAAATATAAACTGATACTCTATTTTTCACAAAAATTAAAGACTAACACAAAGTCGCAATTGACCCTCTTGCTTGGACTTCAATGTAAGCTGTATTGGGCTAACTTTGCACTAGATAACTGGGCCTCACCAGAAATTAAGATGGATATTGGATCATTGTTCAAGTTTGGGCTGAAATTTATATGGGCTAGTAGTGGCTTTGACTTTGTCTAATGTGGGACTTTCACGTGGGAACTGAGAATTTGAATTTAGTGAAATTTCAAAATTGCAAGTCTATCGAAGCCTACACTACAAATAATAATTGAGAAATCAATAAACAAAAATGATATCAATTCTTCTAGAATTCGACATTCCATGATGTGACAAATACTATTTATAAAAAGGGATTAATAACATGCATGCATTAGGATGATGTAGTCTCTAAAAGCCTCGAGATGACCATGACGTTTAAACCTACTAGCAAAGGTTATGATGAAGTAATATGTACTTTTTTTATTATATTTCATTACAGATCTCATATTCAACTTCCTGTAAATGAAGTCGTCTCCAATAGGGAAATCATCTTGGTCTCGACCTTGTTGAGCTCTCCCTGATCGAAAGTTCCTATTTTGCTGCCTCTTCGATCGTCTCCGACTCCCTAAAAAAGAAGATTGGTGACCTAGATGGTCAGGGTCTTTCCTTACCTTAGCTGAGCCTTATGTCCCTTCAACATTCCTATTCATCTTGCCTTGTCTTGGGCACCGCAGTGGACTTATTATCCTATATATAATATCTACTCTAAAGATTAAGAGGATAGAGGGTCTCCCTTCCATAGATTCGATTGGGATTGATTCTCAGGATCGAGCCCTTATCAGAGGCGTGCCTACCGACACCTGTCAAAGTCTTCGGCTTGCACGACGTCTCCTTCCATTTGCTCCAGCTATGAAAGAAAAGAATGGGCGCAACACTTTATTCTCTTCTACCGCTCTTTGTTTACTTCTGGCCTTCCCGAACTCCTACACGGGGGGAGTCAGATCTTGGAGTAAGCTCCCTTCCATGGGCAATCTACTCAAGAGTTTAGGCCCCTAATTAGGTCTATGTCTGGGCTGCTGCCGTACTCAAAGGCGAGGGGCTCCAAAAGTGGATGCGATCGGCCTCAGAGGAGAGGGGAGGCAACTTGGGATTCTAGGCAAAGTGCTTTTTTTGTATATAGGCCTTCGTATAGGATAGGATTTTCATTCCTCCCGCCAAAGCTAGAAAAGAAAGGAGCTCTCTCTTTTTTCCAGCCTTCTTTTTATTTTATTTTAAAGGCATATAGTGCGTTCTCGCTTTCAGGGGGAATTCAAGTAAAAATCTAGTACAAGGAGGAAGCGAAAGGCTAGCTACCAGGTACGAAACAGAGTATGACTATAATAAATCATAGAGCAGTGGGGAGCATGCCCATCCCATTAGATATCATTTGAGCTTCCCCTTTCCTAAGATCCTGGACGTGGTACTGACGCATGAACTTGGTTACTGGTTTGACCGGTTTGTTGGCAAAAGGAAAGGTCTGTTCATTTGTCCAGAAATATGTTTTCGGCCTATCTATCGATTGAACCAGGGGCTGGGCTCCTGTTGACAGACATAAGAAGTGGGATTCAGAATAGGGGAAGAGCAGCTCTACTCATACTTGTGATATTTTTCAATTCAAATCTAAGTTAAACACTGAAATGGATATCAAACCCTTAGAGAAAAATCACGAAAAAATTAATATAAACTAAATTTATCTCCTAAATACTCGAAAAGTGTGTGGAGGGAAAGAATTCAAAGATTCTTGTGCCATTAACTATTGGTCAATGATTGAAGATGAGAAGGAATTAGTCCATCATTTTCAATTATTTTCTCACAAACTTATAATTGCTCCACGTATAACTTAGTCATTTTCTTTGAATATTTACAAAATGTCAATTCAACATATCCTATTAGTTCAAAACTCCTCCCAAACATGCAATAAATTTTTGTCATTGAGCTATTTTAGGCTTAATGCAAGATTCACTTAACCTAGTCAGAAAAAAACTAGATAATATATGCAAGTACCCCTATCATTTGGAGTTATCAACAAACTTATAACGAGTTCAAGAAAATCTTAGATTTTATTTTATTAGGATAACATAAAAAAGGAAATAGTATCCTTAAAATGGGATAGATGGACTATGTACATATATAAGGGTATTAAAACGTAAAATTTAGAATCAAATTATTACGATACTAACCACTTAAAATAACGTTTGTGCTCGTTTAAGCTTCCATTTTTTCCCAAGAACACTCAATTTTACTAACAATTCTTAATCGAAATATAGAGAACATGTTGTAGATTCAACGGGAGGAAATAATGGACGTGCAAGTTGAAATTCTTCCTTATTTTTTATTTGCCATTTAGAATGCTAATTCACTTCTTATACACTTCAATCTTCAAGTTCAAGAATTCTTAAATTGTGTGTGTTTTAATCCATGAAATCATATCATGGATGGCGTATTTAAGTTTTAAACATAATTTATATATAGAGAATTATTGAAAACACCCCTAAAGTCTGCGCAAATTATTAATTTCATCTTCAAATTAGTGACAGCCTTAAAAACATTTTCTTACTTGACTAACTGAATTTAAATGCACCCCGATCTTGCAACACGAGTGAAATTCACCCCTAAATCTCGCCAAATTTAGGATTATTTTTCAACACTTCTATCAGTTTTTTATTAAGAATCTCATGCTTCTACAAGAGTTTGAGACCATTCTTGCTATATCATGTGGCAGATCGGGATATATCTAAGTTAAGTTAGTCAAGTAGAGGGTTATTTTAAGGCTATCAATGGTTGAGTGACGAAACTAATAATTTACGTCAA